GGGGGGCCTGGCAGGTCGGTGCTGGGCATGGTGCCTGGTGGGGAGACGGGGAGGCGAGTGGAGCCCCAGGCCGGCCCCCCAGCTGTCTGTGGTGTTCGGGGTCCCTGGGAGCCAGGCCACCTCCTCTTCTTCACATCTGTCATCATCCCAGGAGGCCCTAGGCCCGGATTTGAGCCAGACCATGCAGGGACCCAGCAGCCCACAGTGCGGCCCGGGTGCCGTGTGGCCAGGGCGGGGCAGGGTACGCACCAGCCTGGCTGGGAGTGCAGAATCCGCCTGTGTACTGGGCGTTCCTGCTGGTAGGGGACATGAGGGCCATTGGGACGCGAGGGTCTATGGGGAGTAGACCCCAGCACCTCACCAGAGCAGCTCAGGAGGAAAGGCAACCCGTGGCCCAACTGCCTGCAAAGGTGGGGCTGGCACTGTGCGCACTGGGGCATTGGGGCCGACACGAAGCCCGCAGCATGTTTTGGTGTCGCTCAGCTCTGCTGTCCTGCGTGTTGGTGTCATGCGGGCACATCGCCCTGGGCGGGCCCCCGCAGCTCCAGGCTTCTGCCCCGCTGGCTTGGCAGCCCTGGTGACGGAGCCTCTGCTCCCAGTTGCTCCCACCGTCACCCTCGGCCTGACCCTCGTGGATGTGGCTTGGGCCGTGTGCCCGTGCCAGGCCTGGGGACTGTAGCCTGGGCGATAGTGCTCTGAGGGACCCAGGCTGGGCGACAGTCCTATTCCTTGGGTGTGTGTGGGGGTCAGTGCCAATCAAACCACAGCGATGGCATGGAAGCAGCCTGTTCCTGCAGAGGATAATCAGGGTGCCCTTCAGGAGAAAGGGGGATGGATACTGGGCAGGCAGAGGCAGCAGACGGCATCGGAGAACACCTTTGTGAAGATGACCTCAGACTGGACTCTGCCCAGGGGCCCCTACCTTTGAGGCTGTGCCCTCAAGATTCAAGACAGTCCAGGAAGGGAAAGGCCCGTTTGGGAAACCAGAAACTTCTGTTCAAGAAACTGCTGCAGGCCGGGCTCGGTGGCTTAGCCTGTAATCCCAGCACTTTGGGAGGCCGAAGCGAGTGGATTGCCTGAGCCT